ATAATTACCTATATTATTTTGGGGGATCCTCATTATAATTACAATATAATGGGCCCCAAAACCCTATTCAATCCTATTCTAACTATCCAGGCCCCTACATTACACCCCAGACCTCTCGCCCGCTTATCCTCATGAGCCCTACACGGCTAATGTACCCTTGCAGGCACGATCCGAGTGAACCCTAAACCCTAAACCCTAAACCCTAAACCCTAAACCCTAAACCCTAAACCCTAAACCCCTAAACCCCTAAACCCCTAAACCCCTAAACCCCAAACCCTAAACGCGAAGCCCAGAGCTCCAATAGAACCCCCTCGGATCCCTTACTGGACCTTGAGCCCTGAATTAAGCTTCTCTAGGAATTAAGGGGGTTTAGGGTTTAGGGTTTAGGGTTTAGGATAAACCCTACAGTAGAAGCCCAAAAATTGGAAACCCAATAGCCTCAATCCTTAAGAGTAGTGTACAGGGAATCCCAGCACTATTTGTCCTGGATCCGGCTTCCAACTTTTTGGGGAGTACTGTACTTGCTGGTGTCGCAGGATGTTTGCACGAACTGCAACGGCGAAGGCACCGTCAAGGCTGTCCCGATGGTTCCGGGGTCAGGGGTTTTGGAGGAAAGGGTGAAGGATTCAGATGAGGGTTCCTTCCAGGGGTCTGTCAGTGTACCATGAGGTCTTAGGGCGGAGCATTTAGGAATCAGCAGCTGTTGTAGTCCTGAATGAAAGGGCGCGACAACCCCGTCAATCAGTTGCAATTCCAGAGTCCTCCCTAAACCCTAAATCCCCAAACCCTAAACCCTAAACCTTAACCCTAAACCCCTAAGCCCCAAACCACAAACCCCGAAGCCTAACCCTGACGTGTGTTCAAGCCGTGGTGCTCGAACCACCGGGGACATGATGTGCAGGCGTCCCACACCCATAAACCCTAAACCCTAAACCCTAAACCCTGGAAACCCCAAAGCAGCAGCTAAATGCTCCACCCCAAAGCGCCTCGGAGGTTCTGCGGCCTAAACCCATGGACCCTGACACTCTTAGACTCTAAAGTTTAGAGTTTAGGGTTTAGGGTTTAGGACTCTAAACACCAAGCCCTACTGTAAGGCCTAAACGCCTCACACCCTTTCCCCCAATCCAGCCCTTCATATCAACGGGCAGCAGCTCCTGGCCCGAATCTATGATCATTTGTTCTCCCACCCATGGCTTACGGTTTCGAGTTCAGGGTTTGTGTATGCTTATAGGGTATAGGGTTTAGGGCGTAGGGTTTGGGGTTTAAAGTTTATCAGGTTTAAGGCTTCGCATGAAAATTTCTAGAGCTTACTCTCCTACAGGCGAACCCTTTTCCGCATCCTTTGCGCTTGGCTTTTCAGTGTTGCCACATGGTTTAAGGATACTAACGGTTTAGGGTGTACGTAGGGTTCAGGGTTTAGGGTTGTTTGAGGATACTCCTTGTTATTGCAGTGCTCCAGCTTTGCGCTATCGTTCAAGCCTTGACGTGATTGCACGGAACAGGACGGTCGGTCTATAATGTAGAAGTACGTATCTGCATAGAAGTACGTACCTGTATTAATAGACATACACACAATCAAACAATGTTTAGTTATGTGTAAATATGTGTATATGTAAATGGAGGTATGTGACCATGTACATGCATGATATATGTATATATATATATATATACACACATATGTATACTTGTATAAGCATATGGAGTTCGTATGCAAGAAGACAGGTTCTTTGCGTGCTTGACCAACGGAATTCGTATGCCTTTGGTTGTGTTGTGCTCTCATTACTACCCGCATGAGCGGTTCTTGAACTAGTTAAACCCTAAACCCTAACCCCTAGAACCCTAAACCCTAAACCCTAACAATGACGATCTGGCCTTGCGCTTCTCTTCAGTCAAACACGCACTTGGTGTTCAAAGGTCAAGCTTCATGGTCGTCCTATCCTTAAGGACGAAAAGAACCATAAATGGGTTTATAGGGTTCATATACCATATAGGGATTCATAGTATAAGGGTATAGGGCCCCTACTTCTAAGGGTCATTTAGTCCTTAAGGATAGTATGATTCTGATCCGCTCGTCGTAGCGGTCTCATCGATAGTACATTGACGTCGTCGTGGTCGTAGTAAAGTAGTACGAGGAGGACCAACAGCACTGGCAGCAGTAGCAGCATTGGTACGAGTCTCTCAGGCGTACTTCTGTCATTGACGTGCGTTGGAAGTGCGTTGTTAACTGTTGCTGTCCGTAACTCAGTGGCCACAACGGCCCGAGTATCTTCTTGTTGATTAACTCGTATCAACAGATGTACCACTCTGGGGCCTTGGTTAAGTTAAATTGAGGAGCGTGCATGCGATCCATTGCTACAGGGGATGTGTGAGCAACCATGCGCTGAACTGAAAGGCATCATGAGCTTCCTTTGGCTCAAGTGCACATATATTGCAACATCCTGTTCTTACGTAACAAATCCCTAAACCCTAAACCCTAAACCGTAGCAAATCCTCAGAAGTCTACCAGGGTACTCTTTCCTTATATGGAAGAGCAGCTGCAGGATCCATTTAGCATCCCTCCGGGGTTTGGGGGTTCAGGGTTTAGGGTTTAGGGTTTAGGGTTTAGGGTCCCTCCGGCATGGCTCTGCTGCTGCAACAAGCATGCGCACCCGTTGCCTTCCTGGCGCTTTGCGTTTTCGTCGGGGAAGTGAACGGATCTGCCCTGGACATGGGGGAGTGGACTGGTGGGGGCTGGTATATCCAGAACCTGGGCTTTGGAGTACCGTACTGTCTTTGGGGATCAGGGCTTTAAGGTTTTAGGGCTTTAGGGTTTTAGGGTTTCTTAGTAGCTGAGTGAGTGCACTTTACACTTTTGGGGATTATATGATCCCTTATAGAACTGAAAGTGTACACTTTTTGGGGCTTATGAACCCAGCAACTAAGGAATGATGGAGTGATGGGTGGCAGGTCCAGCGGTACTCTGGAGCTTGCAGATTCTGGAGCCATCTTTGAGGGAAGTATCAATCTCAATGGAGGAGGCTTTGCGTCTTTTCGACGAAGCTTTGCTGCGAGAGATCTGACTTCCTACGCTGGACTTTGGGTGGAGCTCGACACTTTGCCCGAGGACAGCATTGTTCCACTGGCGATTCATGTCGCGCTGAACGACGCCAGCAGGCGGGGGCTGTCCCAAACCGGAAAGGTTCCGGATGTTCCCTATAAAAGTCCTTCTTGGAGCTTCATGGGTAGTTATACGTGGGGTTTGAAGTCCCTTAGTGTGGGTTATAAATAGAGTTACCCTACCCACGACTTAAGAAGTACTGTATACGACCTGAAAAGGCTCCTGAATAAATGTGTGCCCCGAAAGCCTATTCTACTTATCCAGGCCTCTATATTCCCCCGCAAGAGGCAGGTCCCCTAAACCCTAAACCCTCGACCCTAAAAAGAAACCCCCAAAACCCTAAAAACCCTAACACCCTAAACCCTACAACCCTATAAACCCTAAACCCTAAACCCTAAATCCTAAAACCCTAAATCGTGATCCGCCTGGCAGGTACAATGATTTCGGGGCTGCGATTGCTCTCCCTCCTGGACCTGAGGGTTCCACCTTCTCGGCTTTCCTCCCCTTCTCCTGGTATCTAGGTTCCCCAGTAGTACTCTTTAGGGTTTAGGGTTTAGGGTTTAGGGAGTAGTACCCTTTTGCCCTTTTGCTTTTTGGGTTCCCTGAAACAAAACCAAATAGTAGCAAAAAGGGTACCCTAAACCCTAAACCGTGGGGAACCTAAACCCTAAACCCTAAACCTAGGTTCGCGAAGCAGACGCGGTGGTCTTGCGGAAACCCACCTGCAACACAGAGTCGGTGCAGTTTCCTGCGGACTGTTCAGCTGTACTTGGAGGTTCATGGTTTAGGGTTTAGGGTTTTAGGGTTTAGGGTTTTAGGGTTTAGGGTTATAGGGTTTAGGGTTTAGGGTTAAAGTGGGGTCATAAGTCCCTTAATATGGCATTTTAGTTACCCTACTTATGACAGTATAGTGATGATGACAATCTCGAAACGCGCTCAGCACATCCGAGACGAGCATAGTAACCATGACGATCTTAGGCCTGTGAAGGTGCATTGTTGATTTGATCACTGTTTCTCTCTCTGCACGTAGCCAGCCACCTTCCCGGAATATCAACCTTATGATGATGGCCGGTCGAGAGTTGCAGATTGGTTACCCTAAACCCTAGACCCCAAACCCTAAACCCTAACCCTAAACTTAAAACCTAAACCCTAAACTTAAACCCTAAACCCCACACAGAACCCTGTCGAAACCGAGGATCTTGCTCTCTGGACGTTAGTCGTGTTACCGGCTTGAGGGTGATGATACTGCAACTCGGCAGCACTCCTCACAGCTTTTGCCTCTGGAAATAAACGGTTTAGGGTTGAGGGTTTAGGGGTTTAGGGTTCAGGGTTTATGGGCTTTTTCCGGGTGGCCGGACATGTCGAGTTCATAGATGCAGTATATATATATATACACACACACACATACACACCACTTTCGTGTACTCATGTTATCGGGGCTTTGCAGGCTGGCATAGCGTCTCTAGTAGATTGGCTTACTTGACAGAAGCAGCATGATTGGCTTTCGCTCATGCCTCGCACCCGAAGTCCTCAAATCGTTTCGCCGAAACCGACGCTTACAAACCGAATAGCCTAGAGGGTTTAGGGATTTAGTTTTTGAGGTTTAGGGTTTAGGGGTTTAGGGATTTAGGTTTAAGGTTTAGGGAGTGGTAAACCGTCACCGAGTGTTGGTTGGACAAGACTTTCTGTGTACCCTCATAGTAGTTATACACCCCACATAAACCCTACACCCCAAGGCCGTAACAAAGCGGTAGTTATAGACCCCACATAGACCCCAAAAGCGCCAAACAAGCCCTAGAAGCCAGGTAAACCCTAAACCCTAAAACCCGATATGCCCTAGAAACCCTAAACCCTAAAACCCTACCCTAAACCCTAAACCCTAAACCCTAGACCCTAAGCCCTAAGCCCTAAACCCTAAACCCTAAACCCTAAACCCTACCCGAAACCCGATATGCCTTAGAAACGCAAGGTATCAGGAAGGGCCTTTCAAGTTCCATCTGCGCAAGGTTCACGCCGTTCCGTCCCTTGAGCTTAAGAAATGATGGGGTTTAGGGGTTTAGGGTTTAGGGTTTAGGGTCTTAGGGATTTGGGTTTTGGATTTAGGGTTTTGTGTCTAAGGTTCAAGAATTAGGGTTCAGGGTGTTTTGGGGTTTAGGGGTTGAACTTTGGCCTTAACCCCTAGTAACCTACCCTTTTAAGGACTTAGATAAAGAATTCATACTAAGGAATCCTAAAGAGGAGGTTCATGGGTAGATATTTATAAGTGGAGTTATAAGTAGGCTAACTATAATTATAACCCATATTAGGGGACTTGCAAGCCTACTTACAACTACCCATGGACCTCCAAGTAGGTTATTTGCGGTCCAGTGTGTGCAGGATTTGTCGGGCTTTTTCGCTCCAGGTTGATACTGATCTGGGACATCACAGAAGCCATAGGTACCTGAAAACGCTAAACCCTAAACCCTCAACCCGACTTACAAGTCACACGACCCTTCAAGTAGGAGTAACAAGAGGAAAAGGGGCCTGTGGATTACGGGAGTGACGGTGTTTTAGGTTTCGGGGTTTGGTGCCTGGGGTTCGAAGGTCGAGGGCTGACGCTGTTGGGTTTAGAGTTTAGAGGTTTTGGGTTGAGGCTTTAGGGGTTTAGGGTTGAGGGGTTTAGGGGTTTGGGGTTTAGAGTTTAGAGTTTTTTGGTTGAGGCTTTAGGGGTTTAGGGATTTAGGCTTTACTGCTTAGAGCTTGTGGGTCGGGGTTCTACGCTTCGAGGGCTCAGGGTTCACGGGGTGATTTCCAGGTTCATCCCTATGTTATCGACTGTACAAGTCACTGTAGACTCCGCAGAGTTGCGGGTATCGGGTGCAGGACTTCCTCCATAGGCGAGTAGGACTGGTGGATGGGTTGAAGTGTTTGCTGACTTGGGCAAGACATGCTGTTGATGATACAACTCCTGCATTAGCTTCAGGCTTCAGGACCCTAAACTATGGGAATTATGGTATACTCCTTATTACGGTTAATGCAGGATTTGTATCATCAACCGTGTCGCATAAATTTTACGTGAACAGGTATTATCCTGAGTCTCCTCAGCATGGCAGCAATCCTGATAATGATAAAGTTCCTCAGCTGCCCAGGACTCCAGTAGCACTAGCCTCTCCTGTGGCTTCAAGCGCTAGTAAAGTTAAAGATACAGCTTATACTTAAGGGTTCATAATGTCCATATGTGGCTATAGCATAAGCACATTTTAAAAGGTGTATTCTGATGGTCTAGGTCCCTATGTCGCTCTAGAGCTTTCATATCAATCCTTCTGATAGAACCTGTCAAAGAACCTTTTAACCACTGATTTCTCAAGCGCCCTTGTGACCAGAGATGTAGAAACTTGGCATTAGATCCTAGGTTTGGGGATTAGAGTTCGGGATTTTTGGATGATCCGAGCACTATCATATCAACTAAACAACTTCTCCAACTTGCTTTGATATACCTATGCAAGAACCTGCAAGCTAGCTTCCAACACCACGGTAATCCCTGGTTCCTAGACGCCCAAAAACCCTAAACCCTAACCCATATAGGGGCAATTCTCTAACTTAAAGTCCCTACTTTAGGCCCCGAAGCAGTACTGCCACCCTTACAAGCAGGACCCTAATTGAGAGAAGTACCAAGCCCTAAACCCAAAACCCTAAACCCCTAAACCCTAAACCCTAAACCCCTAAACCCTAAACCCCTAAACCCTAAGCCCCTAAACCCTAATCCCGAAACCCTAAACCCCTGAACCCTAAACCCCTAAACCCTTAAACCCCAAACCTCATCCTCAGCAGGTCAGCAGAAGATCTCCCCACCTCACGTGGCAGTGTCCCATCGCTGAGCCTTTCCGACGAGACGGCGTGGAAGACTTGGCTCTATTTCGAAGAGGGTTTAGGGGTTTAGGGTGTAG